GGAGAGAAGGTACGGTAGCAGGAGTGCACATCTTTCCAGAATTTGGAGCACTGATTAGGAGGGGATTGACTGTGGAGATTGAACGAGAAGACTGATTGTAGCACCTTGCCGACATGATGATCATTGTCCAAAAAATTCCAGAGCCATTTGGAGAGAAGAGAGAGTGTTAAAGTGATGAAGGTTGATGACACCCAGTCCTCCGCATGCTTTGGGAGTGCAGACAATCCCCCATTTGATCGGATTATTGCCTGAAGAACTATCTGGAGCCTTGCCCCAGAGGAAGTTACGTCTTATCTTGTCAATTTTCTTGATGAGCCAGGAGGGGAGTTTGAAGAACGACATATAATATAGAGGGATGGATGAGAGCACTGGGTTAAGAAGGACAAGACGGCCGCCAATGGACAGAAATTTACTTTTCCAAAGAGATAATTTGCGGTGGAGGGAGTCCAACAGGGGTTGCCAGTCTGCTCTGGAAAGAGAGCCTCGTTTAATTGGGAGGCCAAGATATTTGAAGGGTGGTGATGCGAAAGGGCAATTAAGAATATTTGCCAGGAAAGGTCCTTTGGAGGTTGATTTGCCACTGTAGAACAGGTTGGATTTGGCAAAGTTGATGGCTAGACCCGAGACATTTTCAAACATATACAGGATAGATTTGATGTTGCAGATGTCGGATATGGTTGCTTTGCAAAAAAGGATAGTATCGTCTGCAAATTGAAGTGATTTGATATCATTGAGCTTGCCCTTAAGATGAAGTTCAGATAGATCACCATGGTCACAACTGTTGATGAGCATCCTACAGAGGACGTCAGCAACAAGGAGAAAAAGCATAGGAGAGAGAGGGTCTCCTTGTTTGAGTCCTCTAGAGCAGAGGAAGGAGTTAGACGCGGTGCCATTAACGATGACTGAAGATTTGGAAGAGATCAGAGAGGATTTGATCCAAGAGCACCATCTAGGGCCAAAGCCTCTAGCCTGAAGCAAGGACAGAAGGAAATCCCAGTCCACACAGTCGAAGGCTTTGGAGAAGTCGATTTTGAGGATGCAGGCCTCGATCTTCTTAGAGAAACATTGATTGATCATCTCATGACCTAACACAATGGAGTCAATGGTGGATTTGCCACCTTGGAAAGCTGATTGAGAGGGATGGACCAGGGAAGACAGGAGAGGGCTGAGACGGTTTGCAAGCACTTTGGTGAAGATTTTAAACATACTATTGAGGAGGCTGATAGGTCTGAAGTCAGATGGATTCCCAATTCTTTTCTTCCAATCGTTCTGGGAACTTCTAAAATCTGATATCCTAGCCTTCTTCTCTCACATCTTCAATGATAGCTCACACCTTCACATTTTTAACCACTCCCTCATTACCCTCATCCCAAAAATCTCATCTCCTAACTTTGTCTCTAATTCCAAATTACTTAAGGATTTGGGTAGCTAATTTCGAAATATGAAGGTCTTGGGGACTAATTTCCAAAATACGAAAGATTGATTTGGGGTCCTACTATCTAAAATACCCCTCCTAAGTTTGTGGGTTATGGTCCATGAATCGTACCGGGCCAGAATGCATCTAATATTCTTCTCAAAATTAAGTACGGAAGAACGCGACTAGCTAGCTAGAGCTAGGTATGGATCTGAGTTTGGTCCAAGCTGGGTAAAAGATTCTGGTCAGGTTGAGTCACATCCAGGCCACTTCCTGTTCAAAAATGTATAGGTCACAAGGAACAAAAAAGAGCATCAAAGTCTCAAATTCTAAGAAATCAATAGAGAGATTGAAGACTTGCTACTTTGATCCCGAGAAAAATTGTTACCCTCTTTCTACATTTTGGCCCATGCTTCTTTTGCTTTCTGGCCTCCTTGCAACCTAAAGAGAGGCTGCGCGCTGGGGTTCTATACTTTGAGAGAAATTGGTCAGAGTTCTCGTTGAAAAAAACATTTGCTCAATTAGTCTAGCCGTACCCAGTAAGCTAGCTTCTCTTTTGAGGTCTCGAATTTGAAATTGGACCCTCTTTAATTATTCTCTCTTTTTCTAGACCTTTGTTTTGTTAATTGGCAATTAGTATAACGCCAACTCATTTTACCAACCGAACTATCAAATATGTATATGTTAGCGGTGATATTTATCCTAGCTACTTATCATATCAAAAGAAGGTGAACCTCACCACTCATAACTTATAAATAAGATGACAACTCATAAGTCATATATAACCATTATCTGATCTATTAAAAGAGCATATATGCACCTAGTTTTTATTTGGCTAAATGACACTTAAATATCCTATTGATTCATCACCTTTACACTTAAATATCCTAAGTTGTAAAAAATAGCATGTAAATACCCTCAGTTGTCAATTGTTAGAATATTATTGTAAATGACGTAAAAAAGAACTTGTTGTGGCAAAAAAAAAAAAACATCTATGGAAATGAATGTAAGATTTAATAAAAAGATGGAGACCGGTGGGTATAGTGATGAATATGACAATAAATAGGGTCAATATAATTACAAAAACCGTCATGTGCTAATCACATGAGAATATTATTAGAAATATTAATCTTATGTGTGCAACTAACAGAAGCTACTAACATGCTAGTTTTTTTTACAATTTAGAGTATAAAAATTATATATTTTTTTACAACCTAGAGTATTGAAGTGCCACTTTTTTGCTCTTTAAGTGGGAAGGTAGCGAAACAATACGGTATTTAAGTGCTATTTAGCCTTATAATTCCAATCGATTTAAGGGTTTTCATCATATAGCGAGGCTGCATATATAGCTTGGAAGATGAAGGGCTAGACACGAGAATTATTTCACATGCCATATTGATGAAGAAAAGCAAGGAGTGTATTATAATCCGAGAGGGAGGAATTCTTAATTTTGAGAAATATCTGTGTGCAAGCTATATATCCTTAAAACTAGAATCTAACAATAATTAAGCTGAAATATTACCAACAGAAAACCAACTGTTCATCACCAAAATACACGTACACCAGCTTGACGCTCCCATGTGAACTTTCTCAAGTTAATTAGCGACAAAACCCATACCGGTCAAAAAGAAGAATAGCTAGATTTGTAAATTAACCAGCAGGAAAAAGGGCTTTTATCCGACCGGAGCAGCTTTATTAAGCGGTTCCGGCGGAACAGCGGAGCCGGCACATGCACGACAGGGAAGCAGTGGGGGAAAGGAGACGATTGGTCGGGGCGGAGACAAGACTCGATGACGCTCGAGAAACCTGCCCTTTTCTACTTGTCGCTTTCCTTGTTCCCCAAAAGTGGGAGCGAGCAGTTTGATGGACCTGTTCGCTGTTTTTTGTTTATTCTGTTCCTCGGGAGCATCTCACCGCCGCCAATGCGTTTTGCCCGTTCTCCAACAGCTACGAGCCGTTTCTACAGCTAGCTTTGGGAATACGTTTGTCGTATTGACGAAAATTGTTAGTTTTTTACACGCACAATTAATTAATTAATTAATTAATTATAGACTTCGCGCAAACAATAATGCCAATACGATTTTACTACGAATTATTTTGAAATTCGTGCGTGGAGGATCCTTGTACATGCAAATTAACAACAGCAGCAAAACAATATATATATATTTTTTCGTATAACATCGATTCAGTTTTTGAAATTGAGATGATGTCTAGTGTTCGCCAATAAATTATTATTGACATATAGTCAGCTTGCAACTCTACTACCGTAAGCTCAACAGACATGCATCATTGTACGTCTATCACATAACAAAATTACCGTGTCGTGTTTATTTGGAGATATACTGGATATAAGCTGCAACCTCATTTATCAAAATGAATTGTGAAGGTATAATAGAGTAATGATGTGCATACAAACCTTCTGACGTGACTAATAAAATGACAGATCTTACTATTGCTTTATCTCTTATAGCATCTCGTGAGCAAAATGAGATTGTCACCTCACGCTAATTATTTCCAAATTTAATTGCAGATACATCCTTCTAGTATTGGTAGATGCGGATAGGCACCCTATAGTTCTGATTGTGCGGATTGGTCTCTAAGTGAATTTTCTTGACTCTTAAAAAGCCAAAAAGAGCTATATAGATGGAGATAGACCCCTTTCGACTTCGAGTTCTATTGGTATGGATAGACCCCCATTTGCTAATTTTTTTTCACTCTTAATTAAAGAGTCAAAAAAGTTTATTTGGGGGGCTATGCCGCGCTTAGGCAAACAACGTAGAGGGCCTATCCACACAGTTAGAACCATAGACATTTTATTCGCATTCAGTCCATCCTTAGAGCATCTCTAACAGCTTTTTCATTTTATTGTTATTCTCACTTTTAGAGAATTTTAGGCTTTTTTTGGTCCAACAGATTTCTCATCCCATTCCCCAAAATAGAGATGGAGGAGAAAAAAAAGGGGAGTCTTCCCCAAATCTGCAGCATTTTTCAAATTTTTGGGGAGAGCTTTGTCATAAATGTTTTACGTCTTCAAGTCTCCAACTACTCAAAAAACGACTCAACACTATAAAACGAGGAGACAAAAAACAAAAAGTTAATGTCTAAATCTTTATTGTTAAAGTTCATGTCAAAGATGTAGAATATTTTTATTATTGTAATAAATGCAGGATTCTTCAAAATGAGGAAGCTGTTGGAGTTGGAGCAACAATAATTTAAAGAATATGACTTTTGCTTCCCCATTTTGGAGAAATTTTTGGGGAATCTGTTGGAGGGGTGTATCCGCAATTAACTCTTTTTTTATTTCTTATTTTTTATTCAAGGACAAAAATCATAACCATTAATTAATTAAAATGATAAACGATTCCGATTGAGACTGTGGCCTGTTCACCGTCAAAGCTACAGTGAAAGGATCCGAATCAAAGAAGTTTCAAGGCCTGTATATGTTGGGGGTGAGGGAAAAGAAGAATAAATGTATTTCTAATTATAAAATAAAAATAAAAAAGCCCATCCCCCTTCATGGACCCCGCGCTCCTTATATATATATATATACATAAGATCCTGTCCTCCTCCATCGCCAAATCCAATCCAAACCAAATAAAGCAAAGATCTCCCTCAAATATTTGCTTCTTTAATTACTCCTAAATCCATTTTATTTCCTTCTAATTTCCTCCTCTCTAAACTCTCCTCTACTTAGCCCCAGCGTTGTGGTACATATTTGATCGGTTAAGTGATCACTAGCTAGCTAGAGCTTAATCCATAGCTCCGGCCGACGAATGGAGATCGTCGACGTCGGATCCTTGATCACAGAAGCAAGATCGACGGTCAAAACAAGAGCGCATCGCAGTCACAGTGAGGCCGAAAGGAAGCGTAGGCAGCGCATCAACTCCCATCTCGCCACCCTGCGTACAATTATCCCATCAGCCGCCAGGGTACGTAGTACTGCTTCAATTAATTAATTCCAAAATAAATCAAAAAAAAAAAAAAATCGTTCAAAATCTCACTTGCAGTTGGACCTTTGTACATATATGCTATCGATCGAGAGTAGTATTAATTAGGTGTTTTGTGATTTCGGCTCCTCCAAGAAATTAAGAAATTTTTTTTCCTCTCCATCCATTTTTTATTTCTTGTTAATTAAAAAAAAACCCTTCACTAATTAAATATCTTGCTAGAGTTAATATTACCTCTTAATTAATTAATTATCTGCATATAGATGTTTTCACGTGGTTGCTTAACGATGGCACAAATTCACAGATGGACAAAGCGACGCTGCTGGGCGAGGTGGTGAGGCAAGTGAGAGAGCTGCATGAGATGACGGAAGACGTGGCCGTGGTGGTCCCCACCGAGGCCGACGGGGTCCACGTAGAAGAGGAGGGCGGTCTAGTCAGGGCCTGGATCTGTTGTCCGGACCGGCCCGGTCTGCTGACTGATGTGGACCGGGCGGTCGGTTCGGTTCATGCGAGGACGGTTCGAGCTGAGATCTCAACGATTGGGGGTCGAACCAGGAGCCAGCTCGAGCTCGAGTCGGAGTCGGGGGTTGAAGAGGACCGGTCCGTGCTCTTTGCTGGTCTCCGGTCTGTTTTGGCCGGTTTGGTTGTTGGGGATCAGTGCAAGAGGCAACGCCTCTAGTTTAGGTTGTTGACGTTTTTACTCTTGTTTAGGGGTTAATTAGAAAAAAAACTTACTTTTTAACGTTAAAAAAAACCATTGGCATGGGGTTTGCGGGTTGTGGATCTGAATGTTATAGACAAACTGACGAAGATGATTTAATCGTAAGCGCTTGAGGTTACTGTACGTAGGGGTGGGAAACGATCGGATCGAATCGAATACTGAGGTGTTCATGTTTGTATTTGTTTAAAATTGTTGAATTCGAATGCGGACTCTAATATTCATATATCTAGTTTTTCAAATTCGAACTCGAATACTTGGTATTTGATAAATATTCATAAATATTCATGAATGCTTATCGAATATCAAAGTATATTTATTTCGCTAAAGAGTTTTGATTTTCAAACAATATTAAAATCCATAAATAAATATTATTCCTTTATAATATATGATGTATATATATTTAAATTAAAATTTTAATTAGAAAATAGATTTAAGATTATTTAAGTCTTAAAATCAATATATAAAACTTAAGTAGAAATGGTAAGTGGGTTAAACATATAACATCATACGTGCAATAATACAAATAATAAGCTGTGATCAAATTTTAAACGAATATTTAATAGTCAAAACGAATCGAATATACATCTGGTTAAATTCTATTCGTTAATAAACTCAAATACTAAAAAATATTTGTTTAGTGATAAATGAACTACCGAATCGAATATGACTGAATAGTTATTCGAACAATTATTGAACAATTTATTAATTATTTGGTTCATTTCCACCACTAACTGTATGGAGAAGAAAAACCCGAAGAGAAGTACTAAAGGGTTCGATATTTTCAATGTTTTAAGGAGGGTTATCTGATAATCACCCAATTTTAAGTGGTTTTTTCCTGATGTTTAGCCATTGAAAAAAAAATCAAAACTAAGTGTTAGAGGTTACTATCATACTCCTTTTAAAAGCACGAGTTCAGGAAAATCTTTCTATGTTCAGTATTATCCTTAACTTTTTTGAATATTACATTGTTATTCTAATCTATTCTAATTTTAATCATATTTTATCTAATTCCACGTGAATTATCTATAGGTCAACAATTTAAAAAAAAGTTATTATGAATATTTCACTTATGTCTTAATCTATCCAAATACTAATTATATCCTATATTAACTCTATATGAACTACTTATAACTCAAAAATATAGGAAAAATAAGATTAAAAAATTATACTTAGATAATATATTATAATACATGAAGTATTATAAAAAAAACCAAAAGTTTTAAAAATTGCATATAATAGCCTTAAAAGTTTAAAATTACAAAAAACACATTATCTTTTTAAAACTTAAAAACAAACATGATATCTAAAAATTTAAAATTTGTAATTAACACCCTCAACATTTTAAAAATTATAAAAATAACCTCAAAAATTTAAAGGCTAAATTACATTTATATACCCTATGTGTTTTGCTCTTAAAGCAGTTATATACCCTAAGTTAAAAAATATAGCAAAAAATTTCCTGAGTTGTAAAAATTTGTAAGTTGGTACCTTCTGTTAACCAGCTGTGAGAATATTCTCTAGAATATTCCCACGTGCTGGACCTATGACCAACTTGAATACTTCTTACCCTCATTTATTGACCAACTTGAATACTTCTTACCCTCATTTATTGTATTATTTACTGTATTACATACCCCCCAAGCCCCCTCCCTACCCTGCAAATTAGATTATTTTCACCATCATCTTCTTTTCGTGGCCTCCAACTTCTTCCTCCTCTTTAATATGAGTAACAGTAGAAAATAAGTGCTTTCACTATGTTGGGGGGGGGGGGGGGGGGGAATTTTAGGGGGTTAATTCTTAAGGAGGGGCATTATTGTCCTTTCATGTATTTTTAACACCTTTAGCTAAATTTAAACAGTTACCAACCCAGGGTATTTTTTACTATGTTTTTTAACTTAGGGTATATAACTACTACAAGAGCAAAACAATAGGGCATATAAGTGCCATTTAGCCATGTTTAAATTACAAAAAAAATATTCTAAAATTCAGAGATTTCAGAACTTAGAAACAACATAGATGGATTTCAGGGATTACCATTAGGCACATAGAAATCTAAAATTAGTAAAAAAAAATAACCTTAAAGGTACAAAAATTACAAAAACTCTCTTAAAAGTAAAAAATTATTAAAAATTTTTAAAATTTTAAAACTTATAACCGATACACATCAAATTTAGAAAATATCAGCAGATTGCTAAAAATTTAATTTTTTTAAAAAACAACTCAAAATTTTAGTAATTATAAAAATATCTTCAAATTTTTAGAATTACGAGAAATATTCTAACATTTAAAAACTTATCATCAATACATGAAACATAAAAATTATAAGCGCCCAACTTAAAATTTTAAATTTTTATAAAATACTATCAAAGTTTAAAAATTGTAAAACACGTACACCCTCAAAAGTTTAAATCACAAAAAGGTTAAAATTTGGCAAAGAAAAGAGAAAATATTTGATATTATTACATTAAGATATGATAGGTTAGCATTAATTAATTATAATGTATCAACATTTATCTCTAATATTAATAATACTTATTTATAAAGTAAAAAAAATACAAGGAGTTATGTATGGAGAAACTATCAGAAAGTTCAGAGATATCCTTTAAAAGAACTAAGATGTTTTTATTTCAAATGGAGAAGAGAAGGAAATAAACTCAAAATTCAGAAACATTCATGAATCACCTGAATTGACATTGATAAAAAACATATCAAGCAAAGAAGCACTAACCGAGTTCTCCTTGAAGAACATATTGAACAATTATGTCCTAATTAAAAAAACATTATTCATGAAAAGTACAAGAAAAATTAGTAAGTACTTATAAATTTTCATACTTTATTCTAAAAATACTAAAGGAATCATAAACTTAATATAAAATTTCATATAAATAATCTTGCAAAAGAAACTAAAATGAAGCCATTGATCAACTACATTGCGAGATATAATAAACTAGATAAGATAAGAAAAATCACTATAATGGATAAAAATATGCATATGATACTTAGTTACCATAGTATAAGTAAAAAAATTAAAATTAAAAATTTCTTTTCTCTATATAGTGGCACGACTCTGCAAGTATCCTTATTTATGGATATGACTACCAACGAAAGATTAATTTTTAAGAACACGATCAAAGATAAGCATGTAATAGTACTGTCCCAACGAAAGATTAATTTTTAAGAACACGATCAAAGATAAGCATGTAATAGTACTGTCAGAGTTCAAGATCTTTAAATATAACGATCAAAGATAAGCATGTAATAGTACTGTCAGAGTTCAAGATCTTTAAATATAAAGGTAACATATTTTACAACTAAAATTCTTATTAAAAGCCACTAAATATTAAAAAAAAAAATTATACATGTCTCAAATTTGTATGAAAGATATGCATGTCATCGTAAATTGTGTTAATAATATATCAACTTATTGAAGAAATAAGAGATAGATAAGCAAACCAAGCAAACATCCATATAACACGATAAAGAAAAAATATTATACTTTTAAAGCTAATATGCATGGCTTATTCAGAACAAGTTGTTAAAACAAAAACATCTCCATCAAAACTCTTTATAAATACAACACAAATTTAAATTATTTAATATTTTTAAAAACAACTTAAATTTTTGAGTAAAACCAGAAATCTTTAGAAGTGATTTTCATGAACTCTTTTAATTTTTTTATATGCTTATGTGGATGCTTTTATCATATAAAAGTATAATAAAGTTAGTATTAATCTTTATTTTATAATTTTTTTCTAAAGTCTATCAGTGATTAGCAACAAATTTTATACTCTCCTTAGTTTCATTCTAGCTCATTTTTAATTAATCAAAATGTCTTATTGGCTTTAATTATTCATCCTTCTTTTATAACATTATCTTTTCAAGTGTTTTTCACTTTTATAACATTATATCTTCTTAAGCTAAGCTTGGTTTCATGCAGATCTAAATAACACGAAAATTCAAATTAGCTTTAGATTATAGTTATTTCTTATCAATTCAATTATTATATAAAAAATTTAAATTTGGCGTAGCCCATTCAAACACATTAAAAAAAATAATAATCACAATAGTAAAGTTTAAAAACATAAGTGAGAAAAACAATCAAAATGGAACTAAGAAATAAATTTTAGTAAAGAAATAAGTCAAAAATACTTAATCATAATATTTAATCGCGTGCATTGCATGTGCATAAATCCTAGTATGAAAAAAATGAAGAGAAGTACTAAAGGGTACGATATTTTAAAGTTAAGGGGAGTTACCGGTAATCATCCAATGTTAAGTGGTTTTTCTTGATTTTTAGCCATTTAAAAAAAACAAAACTAATAAAAAATAGAGGATTGTACTTTTTAATTAGCGTATCTACTGCATTTAATATTGGTCATTATATAGTAATTATCATTGCAGATGGAACGAAATTAACTCCCACATAAATCAACTTCCTCTACTGGTTATATATGAGTGCTGCTACGAGAACCTAAAATATGGGACCTAGAGAGGGGACAGGTGATGTGTCCCCTCCCTATTGTATAATGAGTTGGCCATGCCAACTCATTATGCAATAGGGAGGAGACACATCACATGTCCTCTCCATTGGTCCCATATTTTGGGTCCTTAAATCATTTTCCGTTATATATATATATTAGGTGTCTCGAACCCGCATTTCACATGGGCATATAATGATATGAACTGAGGTAAACTAGAACTTAAATCTAATGATATTTTAACATGCACTTTCGGAATCTACTCCCCTACATAAATGAGAGAACCTAAGTTTCACTATTCTTGCTACATAAAATGCTACAGTAACATTTACGATAGCAAACATAACTGGACAAGTTTTTTTTTTAAAAAAAATATTACTTTAGCACACTACAGACTGTAGCAGAGGCGTGATACTGTAGCAATTAAAAAAAATACTGTATCAGTTAAAACCTAAATTATTGTAACAGGAAAAAAATATGCCGTGCTTTGCACGATGTTCACACTAGTTTATATTAAAACGTATAACACATCAAAGATGTAAGAAGTTTATAGTAATCAAATTGCTACCCTTTATTACTCGACTACTATAAAGACGAGCTTTCAGACACTGAGTACACTCAAAAATGATATTTTCATGAATTAACGTATCAAAATTACAACAGAAGGGAAAAAAGACCAGGCCTGTAGAAGGAAGAGATGCGATACAACACATTCTTCTCTCAAAATTTATATATTACCTAACAACACTGCTATTTGGTTCGCGCTTTAACGCGCGAGGCAACTCGCACAGAAACAGGGGTGGGACCCACTGTGCCAACTCGCACAGAAACAGGGGTGGGCCCCACTAGCACAGTGGGTCCCACCCCTTTGTCTCTGCGCGAGTTGGCTCGCGCGTTAAAGCGCGAGACAAAAAACGTTTTCCATTACCTAAGGAAGCGACAAGTTATAATAATCTTCAACTTGAATCTTTCATACAGTTTTTCAGACGCAGGGCTTTCGCCCTAAATGAAACGACAGCACAGACGTAAACTCCAGTCATCGCTATGATTAATACGCCCACGTACACACTTAGCGTCGTAGCGCAAGTATACACGTACCTGTAATCGTATAGAACAATAATTTAAGTCAAGCTGATTTGATTGCAAAGATATTTTGGAACAAAGACTTTTTAGCTTACTTTGGTGAAAAGACACTCCAGATGAACAAGTGGTCTCTCATAAGCAACAACACGATGGTGAATGTGGTTAACACAATTGAGTTAAGGATCAGAGGAAGCAAACATGGAAATCCTATCATAGTTTGAAGTATGCAACCCAAATCTAAGTAATTAGTGGAGGAGACATGTCTCGTATTCTTCAGAGATATGTACATGACCATGCTGAGAAATGATAGTATTGGAGATGCGTATGTAATAAAGAACATCAGAACGCCAGAAACTATTGTCGAGTGGCTTGAGATACCCTGATAAAAGTGAAAGAGGGAGATAATTAGACAGAATATAAAGTACAATTTGAAACAAATAAGTGTACGGAGATCGAGTATTTACTATATATGCTCCAGCAACGTCAATTGTGGCTAAGCTATTGCTATTCCCTAAACCAAAATGACCTGCCATTCCCAAGAAGTATATCGCAATAACCTGTCAAATATTCCTTCTGTTAGTCATGAAAACACAATTACAATACAAATAGAGCAGATGCAGAAATATTTCATCCAGTGCAAGTCAATGGGTAAAAATCAAGAAATTGAGCATTAGAGTTCTATGTATCTAAGTGATCACAAGGGTATGTTTGCAACGATATAGAACAGGCTAGTAAAATGCAGTGCCGCTTCCATCATGTATCCAACCATCAATTTTCATTCTTAATTTACAAAGGGTAAATGGCACATAACCGCCCTCATCTGTAACTTCAGTTGCACTAAACCCCTCTTAAGTCTCAGCTCATTTACTAGCACTTAGCACCCTTGAAATGCCATTTTTAGCAAGACAAATTGCACGTAACACCCATCTTTCTTATGAGGAAGGGGGAGGCAAAGTGCTAGTAAATAAGTTGAGGTGAAGGTATAGATGAGGGGGACTATGTGCAATTTATACCTTAAAACGTCTAGCTTTATTTTCACTTACAGTCCTGTAAATTTCAAGGCTTACGCAATATATTCACAAACCAATCTCTTATCACAAATATCACAATACTAGTTTGGTTATCAATATGACTAACATGATGTGACATGTGTCATGCGATATATGTGCAAATTTAAAGTTGTCAAAACTGATTCTCACTCCAGCAGGACACTCATCATCGACAAGGAAATCGACTTATCAAAATAATCTAGAAAAACTACAATTAGCAAGTGTACCATACTACCATACTCATATTATAAGGGTTATTTGCACATGGACCGCCTGTAGTATCATTGTTTTGAGCTTACTACCCCTGCCATTTCATTGTTGCAAATAAACCCATCATTTAAATTTTTTTTCACCCTGTTACCCTCAGACTCACTAATTTCACCCAGGGGAAATATCAAGCAAAAGTTCACCAAGGGTAAATACAAGAGAGAGAAAAAACCCAGGGGGTCAATCTGCAACAATGAAACTGAAACCGCATGGAAAACAAGTGCAAAACAATGATACTATTATAAAAAGAAAATCCAACAGAGATAGAAACCGTTCCTTCAGATTACTAGTGTTATCAATACTAACAAATAATAAAACAAGGAGAAATAATGTCAGTACTGACCTCAACCCATTGTCTGTGACATGATCTGTCAGCTGAAAAATAGATTATGCTGGCAATCAGTTGTGAGAAAATCAGTAGTACAGGAATCGAATTTATTGGTTGCTGTATAAGCAACTGCAGAAGACACCAAGATGCAGCATATGCCATTCCAATAAGATACATAGAATCATTTATACCAACCAGGATAGGATCAATCGATATATTGCTTGAACGAGAATCAGAATCTTTCACATGTTGAATCTTTAACTGAACAGGCGGAATCCAAGGTGCTGACAATACAGTTATCGCTACTGTCACACTGGTGATTAAATAAAATATCTGAGCTACTGAATTGGAACTGTGACTATCTGATACCTCAGATTGGCTCCAATTTTCCACAATACGAAAACAAACCAATAATCCAGATGCAAGAAGAGCAACAATGATTAAGTCGACTAAAACTGTCCTTGACCTTATTAAACCAATGAAATATGAAGCTAAGACCATCAGAAAAATTAATGAGAATATCTGCAATGATTTAATAAAGGGAACACCAACTTGCTCAAGCCATTTTGAGATATCAGGAAGATCAACCCAGTTCACACCACCTTGATGCCAACCTCTCAAAAGCCTTCCACAAATGAGCACAATAATGATAGATAATATCTGTTGATAATCCTTCATAATTTTCAACTCTGCAAATTCGCGGGTGGTAACATCTGATCTTTTGTTAAAGAGAGACTGGACTGCGGTGAGGAGAAATATCAAATACAGCGTGGATACTAAAAAGTGCCATGTGTATTGCTCTTCTTCAACCATGGAGCTTGAATTAAGACTGATAGCATGGATCAAGACTGCTAAAGCAACGAATAGCTCATCCAAATGCCAGCTATCACTGCACTCTTTCACCAGAGAAGGGCTTTGCTTTTGCCTTGAGAAAACTTCTTTGAACACGCAAGACAACAATTTCAGCAGTAGAAGGCAGGAGGTGACCATGATGGCAACTCCACATAGAAGCAAGTTAAAAGGCTTCTGCAAAAGTACATAGTTCTTTACTTAAATCAAAAGTTTAACAAAGCCTACACAAGATTAAGCATTTTTGTTCATGAAAATTCATCAAAGATAGAAATTGAAAATTACATCAGTTGCTTTGTGCGATAGCCACTCACTCGCACTTCTTAGAAAATCATAGTATAATGTGATGATAACTTTGAAGTCATCAGTATTATTAATCCTGCAAAAGGATATAACATTGTGAAAAGATGAAACACCATTGTAGTACAAAATTATGCATGGATCATTAGACCTGAGGCCATGTTCATGATCTTACATATAGTCGGAACTTTGCTGCTGTTGTTCCCATAACTTATGTGCAGCAGAAGCTTTTGAGAATAAGTAATATAATCTTTCCTGCGTATTATTCGTGATGCCATTAACTTGAGAATCAGTTTTGCCACTGATCCTATAAAGCAAATTACTGCAGAGGAAACCGGGTAAATGTGCTTGCAATAGTCTTAATAATTGCCAGGAATTTAACTGCAGAGCCCGCAGCATTTGCTTATCTGTTAGAAGGCAACAAAATTTGATCTGTTACGAGGCAACGAAATTTGATCCTGTGATTCTATTAAAAAAAGAATACAATTCTGCTTAACATGTAAGTTTTGCAAGATGATGAACAAAAACCAATAAGCAACTAATTATGCAAGTAGGAAGAAATAAACACAAATTTGCCTTAATGTTTGCAACATTTGGAAAATTTCAACCTACTACACTTTTCTCGAATTTCCTGATCCCCTCCAGAGCAGCATGCATTTCTTTTCAAGGAAATCATTTATACTGGAATCAATTAATAAAAGCCAACCTGTTAAAGAACTAAAAGCTTCCATCAGCAAGACTCCGATATTATTTGTTGGAATTGGCACACCAAGAAGAAGGGCTAATGTTGGAGCTAAGTCAACCTGGGCAATGAGCTTAAAGTTAATGGCATAAAAAAATATATGACGTCATAAGGGTTACAATTTTCCATTTACAGCTCATGTTGAAAAAAAAACAATTAAATGCATTAAAGGGCAAAAATGCATTAGATCTGCATGTTTTTAAATACTGCACTCTGCACTTTCCACAAGGAATACTTCTACTGCATTTCACTAATCAAATACTTGGGGATAAAGGGGCATATATAAACACACAGATTCTGGAAACACAAAGTACAACTATCATTTAATGCTTGCGCTGCTAAACAGTCCTATATTCTTCTTCTTCTTTCTATTGTTTTACTATAATTTATTTTTGCGGAAAAATAAGCTTCCCGCTAAGAGGATATAAAATGAAAAAAGGACAACTTTACTAAAAGATACATCTGAAAATGTAATATTAGCTATATTAGAAAATGGAAAAATATTTATAATAGTAGTTTGTTTCAAAGTCAACCAATTCATGCAAGTTGTATGGTACTTGTTCACTGCATTTTTATATGTGACACAAGGTCTTTAATATTTTGCAATCAAGGTTTTAAATATCGGCCGACATGTCCGACATGTCGGCGACATATCGGTTTGAGGGATTAACCGACACGACATGGACGTTTTTAACTCATATATCGGTTTTTAGGGCAAAATCGGAAATATCATGGTCATATCGGGCATATCCGCCTATTTTTTAGCTTTGAAAAATCGACCGATATGGTACTTTTTTTAAGATCTGTTTTTTGTTATCGGGTTTGGGTTTAGTGATAAATACCCAAACTCGTTTGACTCGTTCTTATGTTTAAGGGTTCCTTATGAACCCGATAGAAAGAATTTATGAACCCAAATCCATATATTATTTACTTTTTTATATGTTTAGTCTATAGAATTTATAAAATATGCTTATATTGAATTTATGAATGCTTAGATTACATTTAGGACATGATATTATACATATGCGCACTACCCGATATGGCAATCTGATATTTAGTCAATGTCCCCCGATATATCCCCGATTTTCGCTATCCGATATGGATTTCAGCCATCCGACATGAACTCAACATCCGATATTTAAAACCTTGTTTGCAATAGTATATACTGATTCCATCAAAGAATCTAGCTTAGCAAGCCAAAAGATCAACTTATAGAAAATATTAGATGTATTTTCATACACTAACTGGTCAATTGAGCAGAAGCTACAATAAGAAAGTACTTCATTGACATTTACAGTAGGCTAAATCTCGAGATTGAGATCGAGAAAGGGGTTTTGCATTTTTCAACAAAATGCTTTTACAGTACTAGGATTAACTTCTCAGAGAAATAACAGTAACTTCTTAATTTGAAAAGTCGTTGTATGTCATGCACATGATATTTTATTTACAAAAATACCCTTAGCTAATGACTCAAGAGTCTGGCACACTATGTTGTATGTCAACATATAAAAAAAGAAGACAGATAATTACTTGAAAAGCTTTATTATATGTATGGGATAAACATATAAGATACGGAGACAAAGATAATTACTTGAAAAGATTTATTTTGTGTATGGGGTGCATAATCTAACTTCGTAGAGTCTCCACCAATAAAAAGAGCCAAGGAATCAGTTTCTTCATAAGAGGATCCTCCATGATTTCCCCCCTCCGTCATGCCATGGTCACTAACTAGCACCTAACATGAACAAAAATTACAAACTAGATCAGCTCAAAGTCCGTACATAAATTAGGGATGTGGAGAGCAAGGCTATCTAGCAAATAATCTATGTTTCTAAAGTAATCACAATATCCTTGCTGTGGACAGCAATGACATCGAAAAAAATTAAGCCCCAAGCTTTAAAAATATAATACATTTCATGGTAAATAACCATCCAAGTATTTTGGATGTTCATTGTTCTGCACCATGTGGAAATGGATATGGATAAAATCAGTATAGAACTCAACAGATCTCCAGGAAAGCATACAAATTTCAAAATCAAAACTAGAAGTATATCCTAAATCATATTTCAATTATCATGTCAATGTTAATTTCTATTTAATTCGTGTGGCTTGCTCGCAAAATAAAAGTAAAAGTGTGTGTGTGTGTATACCAAGCACGAGTTTTTGGCTCATTCTCATCCACTCATTCAAATGAGGGACCACATTCACATGGGTTGGAGAGTAGATGAGAATGAGAAACCTCACTACCAAACACAAAATTTATACTTGATACCAAGTTCCTACATTTTTCTCATATATATATATATATATATATATATATATATATATATATATATATATATATATATATATATATATATATATATATATATATATATATATATATATATATATATATATATATATATATATATATATATATATATATATATATATATATATATATATATATATATATATGAGGAATATGAGTATGCTTGGTACCAAGCATAAAATTTATGCTTGGTAGTGAGGTGGCATATTATCCTCCACTCATTCAAATGGGGGGACCACATTCACATGGGTTGAATGTGGTCCCCCTAATGAATAAGTGGATGAGAATGAGACACCTCACTACCTGTTTGTGGGAAAATTTGCAGTAAAAAGACAATAAAGGAAAATTTGATTTGTATTCCTTTAATCTCAGTTACAATTGGATTTCCTGATTACAAAAGAGAGGAGAATGATCTGGATTCTCCCCTTTGTTTAATTCTGGGTTCTTCACGGTGGCGATGAGATGCCTCCCTCGAATGCTCGCGTCGAGTTTGCTTCTCGTTGACGATCCGACGTCTTGTTTCACTAGAACATGATCTTCCCCTCACGATTTGACGTTGTGGAGAACTTTGAACGAGTTTGAAACTCTATGAAAGAGTTGATTTAACCGAAAGTCGGTTATAAGCCAAGGATGAAGAAGATCTTATTGCCGATCTCCAAAGCTCCAACCGATCGGTTCTCAAGCCAAGGATGAAGAAGCTCTTGTTGCAGATCTCCCAAGCTCCAGAAATGCTCTAAGGATCCTGTTGACTAGCCAAGAAGTTCCAACAGACCGCCCGAAAAATCCAGCCTCGAACTAAGTTGATTTCTTAGTTATTTATAGGGGATTAAGGGGTGTAACCCCCTCCTTAATTCGCTCCTAAGTGAGGCTAATGGGATGTAACCGCCCCTTAAATCACTCCTGAGTGGAGTTGTGATCCCCTCAGATCGTGGGAAACGGTTTTGAAACTGTTCAGCTCGTGTTTGAAATAGTCAAACGCAGGCCCGCGTTCTGGCATGAATTATGTGTCCAAACGCAGTGTCTAGAAGCTTGAACGCAGTGTGTGATCCCCTCAGATCGTGGGAAACGGTTTTGAAACTGTTCAGCTCGTGTTTGAACGAATCAACCGCAAAATCCGCGTTCCGGTGTAAATTCTGCGTTCAAACGCAGTGTCTGGAAGCTTGAACGCAGTGTCTGGAAGCTGCGTTGGCATCTTGTTGGAAGTTGCGTTTGACAGCGATTAGAGCTGCGTTCAGTGGCTGATTTGAGCTGCGTTCAACGGTTGAAGCTGTGTTCAGCTGTTGATTTGAGCTGCGTTCAGCGGCTGATTTGAGCTGCGTTCAGCGGTTGAAGCTGCGTTCAGCTGTTGATTTGAGCTGCGTTCGTGGCTATGAATGCGGCGCATCTTGACG